AATAAAGCCAACCCCAGACTGAACTCCTTCTCTTTTTTTTAATATTTATTTTTTAGTTATAGGTGGATACAATGTCTTCATTTTATTTTTATGTGGTGCTGAGGATCTAACCCAGTGCCTCACCCATGCTAGGCGACCGCTCTACCTCTGAGCCACAATCCCAGCCCCTGAACTCCTTCTCTTCGTTTTTTAAACCTTATTTTCCCCCTACATTCTTCTAGCCAGTCACCTAAGTCAGGAAGATGGCACCGTCCTTGCTTCCCTTAGCTGACCTCAGATGCCTGTCACAAGTCAGGCCCTGTGCAGGTCCCTGGAGATACATCTTGTACACACACACACACACACCAGGGACCTGCCGTGCCTGCCGCTGGTGGGAGAGACTCGCATACTGATGCTTGATTAGTCCGAGGAAGGTAAAAAATCAGAGTCCTGATTTTGATTGGAAAGACGTCCTGGGGAAGAACATTTGAACCAAGATCTGAAGGATGATTAGATGTTCGCAGGCAAATTGCCGATGGTCGACATGCCAGGCAGAGGGAAGACCTGGCATGCGGGATCTGTGGTGGGAGGAAAGCTGCTGAAGAAATAGAAAGGCCAGGAGGGCTGAGGAGGAGTTGATCATGGTCAGAAGAGGCCGGGCTGATGGGTGAACGCCTGGGAAGTCCATGGTTAGTCTTTCTCGGTTCCTTCTTATTTTCCTATAGACACCCCTTTCCACCAGATTCTCTCTAACCTCTCTCCCCATTCTTTTTCTCCATCCCTACATCCTCATTGTTTTGCCCATGGATGAAGCCAACAGCCTCTTGCTACCTTCAAATTCATGCCTTATAAATTTAAGCAGTATTCTAACTAACTAACTAACTAACTAACTAACTAACGTAAATCTGATTAAGTTAGTCCTTGGGTAAAATCCTCTCTGACTCCTCCATTGTCTAGATAAAGTCCTACCCAGGGATTTCTCTTTTTTTAGTCCACCTCCCACCCACTCCAATGCCTCTTTGCTCTGGCTTTCTCAAATTCTCCTGTCCCCTGGGCTGCCACCTGGCTGTGTGCTGGTGCCTGGGGACCCTGACTTCCTTTGTCCGCTGGTGAAGTCTTTCTCGTATCATGCACCACCGTGCAGGAGCAGTTTCTCCATGTGGGAAGCTACCTCCCTCATCTCAAGCCATGTGCTGACCCCTTCTTCCCCACTGTATTTCCCTCTTGGCTCAGGTCCGCCCCCTGTGCCCCCCCACTGTTATTTACAGGCACATTTGCTCTGCTAGACTGTGAGAGAAGAATCTGGGGCTCATTTAAGTGTGTTCTTCTGCGGTCACAGGGCTGGGTACCTATCAGGTGCTTGATACACATTTTGTTGAATTGAAGGTCTAGTGAGGAAGGAATGACTTTACATCAGCAGGAGGCAAAAGATGAAGCTCCATCTAGAGGCCTCTTCATCAGGGCATCTGGCTTCCAGGACCTGCCTGGGCCATCTGGGTCGGATTCTTCCATTGACCCATCACAAGTCTCAGAGCTGCGCCTCCACCTGCCACGAACACCCAGCAAGAGGACAGGCGGACACAGTGGAGACAGACCTAGGTAGATTCACCCTTCCAGCATAGTAGTTCTCAAACTTCAGCAGACATCAGAGTCATCTGGGTCACCTGGTTTGTTAGACTATAGTTATAAATAGTATTTGTAAAGCCCCTCACTTAGTACCCAGCATATAATAGATGCTTAATAAACAGTGAGGGTAAGTGATACAGGCTGTTTGTCACATTGTTTATATTATTTATGAGTGGATTCCACATCTGGAGTTTCTAATTCAGTAGGTTTGGGGTGGAGCCTGAGAGTTTGCTTCAGTAACAAGTTCCCAGGTGATATTGATGGTGGTAGTCTGGGGACCACACTTTGAGAATTTCCATTCTAGCCAAAGGATTTGCTCCAAAAATTATTGCTGTTTACAGTGCTGGGGAAGGAGATCGGGGGAGCTTTTTGCTTGGGTTTGGCTTTGTAGGCTTTAAGAACGATTAGTATGAGATTAATGTGGATAGATGGATCAGATTCTACAAGCCTACCTCCACCCCTGTCCCCGGGCTTTCCCGCAAGGTGTTTCTGCGTCCATTCATCAGCCACTCAACAAATATATTTTGTAGTAGGTGCATGGCAACAGATGAGGTGGAGTTGTTGATGTCAAGATGAAATCGATACAGAACGGTCCTTAAGGGAGGCCTCTGGTGCAGACATAACCATAACTCAAGGAGTCCAAAGGAGAGATGTCTGCTCGGATGGGCAGTGAGTTCCCCATCTCTAGAGCTGTCCCAGAACAGGCTTCTAGATGGTTAGTGGGAACAAAACAGTTGGATACATGGTTACCAAGTGACCGTTAAGATCTTGAAATCCTGTGATTAGGGAAAACAGTGATGATTTGACATAATAAATGGGACAAATGAAATGCTGTGGGGCTTATAATGGGTTGATCTGCAGAGGCAGCTGAGGCTGCCTGGTGTAAATACTGATAATATGACTACTTTTAATAGATACTGAGTCCTCATCAACATTGTGCTTGGGGTGTAAATGGATTTCTATCCAATGACCTGATAATTCACTGCTTATTGACCTCATATCATTTAAAAGGTTAAATGGAGAAAGCCACAAGCAGGCCCAGAGTGTACCTCAGGGGCCTCTTTGGGCCCAGCTTCCTGAATCACATGGAATTGAGATGCATGGTGCCATTTTACTTTGTTTTGCAATATTTATGAGAGAGAGAGAGAGAGAGAGAGAGCGAGAACGAGAGAGCGAGAGAGCGCAAAACTTAAATTTACAGTTGCTAGGGCACCAATTTGAATTTCAGACTCTCATCTTAACCTTATCAGGAGAATTCAACCAATGGCCAGCCTCCATAGAATGAACCAAAAATCCTCTTTCAGAGAGTCTTGCGCCTAAGATGTGACAAACACAGCCGATGCCCCTTGCCCGTCTCTTGCCATTTATTAAGCATCTATTACATGCTGGGTACTGAGTGAGATGCTTTGCAAGTACTGCTTATAATCCCTTTAACCATCCTTCAAAGGAAGTATCATTATCCTCATTTTCTAGGAAAAGGCATAGAGATTTTTGTGTCTTGTCCAATTTCACAGCAAAACTCTTAGATTTATTTTGGAAGTTGACATAACCATAAAATTGAAAGCTGCTAAAACAGCCCCCAAATTATAGATCTATGTCAAGTCTGAGTACAGATGCATTATTAGCAAATTGAATGCAGCCGTATATCAATGAATAACCAACTCTGACCAGAACGCAGTGTATTCTAGGAATGCAAGAATGATTCAATAATAGGAAATATTAGGAAATCAATATAATTCACCGTGTCAATGAACTAAAGGAGAGCCATACACTAGTAGATGCTGAAAGGACTTTTGATAAAATTCTTCCACATTAAAACTCTAAAACAGGAACCAGAGAAACCATGTAAATTTGATAAAGACTGAAAAATAGCTACATGTCATTCTAAACAGTGAAACATTAAATCCAATCTCATTAACCTAGGAAATACTTGATTTTGCTATTTAAAAAATGTTGTCCTGGTGATTATTCAAAATGAAATCAAGCCAACATAAAATGGTTTATATAAATATGGGAAAGAAGAAATGATGTTATTCCTTTTTGCCCACGATTGTTGACCAAAACAAAACATCAAGACAATCTAAGGAAAGGAACCCTAAGAGATGTCATGAGGGTATTGGGTCCGATGGCTGGCTAACAGCCCTTCTCTGTACAGTCAGGGTCACACAGCTGCCGAACGTGGGCCACTGAAACTGGATTTGAACCCGTTGTGCTCTCCGTCCCTTGGGAAGCCTTTATGCTCACTGGTATAAACCATCCATGTCAGAACCAGTAGGAGAGAGAGGCCCTAAGAGCTTGTAACCCTCAGGCTGAGCAGGGCAGTCCCATCCCCCAGAGGCTGGGACATTGGGCTGAATGTTGGGGAGTCCGAAGGTGGTGGTTTGGTCTGGGGCCATTCAGCCAGACTTCTGCTTCCCAGGCACTGAGAGCCAGCCCCGGTGACACCGCCTCTATTCTGCTTGTCCCTGAGAAGCCATCTTCCTGTCGCCTGCTGTCCCATTAGAGAGAGAGTGCTTCCCAGAACACCTTTCATGGGTGTTCATCAGTGGATGCCTGGGGCATTGAGGTACAGGATTTGGTCACCACATGCTTCAGCTTCCTGGTTTTCATGGTGGAAGTGAAGCATATTTTTCTGCCCCCAAATCACAGGGTGATAGATGATGTATCAAAGTGCATTCTATTATCATGTGTCATGGATTAATAAAAAAATAAAAAAATTCACAGGGAGGTGATACGTCCAATCTATTGTCCCCAGCGTGTAATAGATTCACATGGAATCCACTGCTGGCAGTGGGAGGAGCACAGTGAGGAATCCAGGAGGCCTGGGTTCTGGTGGCTTTGTCCCAGCCAGCTGTGTGTTCCTAGGCAAGTCACTTGGTGTTCCTGGGCCTCACTTGCCTGATGAGTATCCTGGGATGTTGGACTGGAGAGGCACCAGTTCCCTCTGAATTCAAAGTTTCGGTAACAGTCGCACTTACTGTGTGTCCCCCAGTGTGCTCAGTGCTTTGCATAGGGGTTTACCCGTCACAGCAGCCCGTGAGGTAAGTACTGCTATTATCCCCATGTTGTCTCTCTCTGAAGCAGCCGAGGCACAGAGTGGTTAAGTGACTTGCCCGGGCTCTCACCGCTGGGGAGTGGTGGGGCRCTCACACAGCTCTCCATCTCTCTGTTGTCCTTGGATGGTTTTTCTTCATGTGACTGCCTTGTTGGAGTGGTACGGGTTCTGTCAGGAGCTGGGGAGTGACGCTGGGAACGGAGATCACTTTCTAAAGGGAAGGCTGGCTCTGGGGTGGATGGCCGGCGGCTTTGCCACCTGGGGGAATGAGAGCAGTGGCCGCCGGAGGTGCTGATGTCACTGATGTCCCCTTTCCCCCTCTTCCTCTCTTCCTCTCTAGTCTGCGGCAAGCGCTACAAGAACCGACCGGGACTGAGCTACCACTACGCTCACACCCACCTGGCCAGTGAGGAGGGGGACGAAGCCCAAGATCAGGAGACCCGGTCCCCACCTAACCACAGAAATGAGAACCACAGACGTGAGTCCCCACTCGTGAGGTTGGGGCAGGGAGGCGTGGGGAGGGCAGGGATGGGGGACGCTCCTTTCCTCCACCGCTGGCTGGCATCTTCTGGTGGCAACAGTTGGTGGGTCTCAGTGGTCGTTGGGGGTGGGCTCCTTCAGCTCAGCCAGCCAGCCACTGTCCCTGTGGCTCAGCTTCCAGCCTTGAGTGACCTGGGCAGGGCCAGCACAGCCAGCTCTGGAAGGAAGGCCATTCAGCAGAAGGGGAGGGCCTTTACGGGGCCACTGCAGATGCCACTCTCCGCGTGCTTAGCTGCAGATGACCACTCGCAGCTGTTGAGACTGGGCTGGGCATAGCCCTTGGGGTGTTAGATATCCCCACTGTCTGCTTGACCCCTAAGAGTCTTTATATTTTCTTTTTTAAAAATATTTATTTTTTAGTTGTAGATGGACTGCATGACTTTATTTCACTTATGTGGTGCTGAGGATCGAACCCAGTACCTCAAGTCTGCGAGGCAAGTGGCCAACCACTTGAGCCACATCCCCAGCCCAGTCTTTGTATTTTCTTTTTAACTGACATGATATTTGTTAATCTATTGCTGTGGCTTTGTCATAAGGAGTCAAGATTAGAGTGGGTACAGGACTCTTCTGCCTTAGCGATATGGTTGGAACTCCGTGTTACTTTGGAGCATTCAAATGGCCAATGGGATGTGGGTGGACTTACCGTTTGGGATCATCAGCCCCGAAGGCCCAACATGATCCTGAAGATTTTGTGTTTCCATTTTCTTCCTCAATTTCTGTTTACGAATTAGGGAATCAAAAGGGAACTTAGCATCTCCCACCTGACTTCCCTCTGTAACATCCATTATGGCCTCTGGGTCTGCAGCACCTTGAAATGGGAYGGGGTCCTGGAATCTCTAGAGCTTGCTTCAAGATATGGGTGGGGGAAGCCGAGATCACTTGGTGGGGAGAATTTGTGGACGTGCAATGTGTTTTTTAATTTTGTTCATAAGATTTGGTGGCAGGTGCTGTTCGAGTGAATAGTTGAATGCAATTAAAGGCATCAGAACTTGAAGAATATTCAGAGTCTAGGATTAAAGATGATGCTAATGTGTTTTAGTCAGTCAATGTAAGTAGTGGACTGATGTCAGCTGGGCACCTTTACTGAGTATTTGAAATAATTAACACACCCGTGGGTAAGACCAGACTTTGGATTTATGTGTGGCTTCCTCTCACTCCACTCCACTTCCYAGTTCACTGGGCCCACCCTAACAAAATACCACAGATGGGGGTGTTTCAACAACAGAAGCTTATTCTCTCACAGTTCTGGAGGTTAGAGGTGCAAGATCAAGGTTTTGGCAGGACTGGTCACCTCTGACGCCTCTCTGGCTACCCTCTCTCTGCACACCTGCTCTGGAGTCACCAGTCAGATTGGATTAGGGCTCACGGCCTCCTTTGACCTCCTTTGACCTCACCTTTTTACCTCCTCAACCCCATCTCCATATATATTTACATTCTGAGGTGTCCTAGAGGTGAAGCTTCCGCATAAGAATTGGAGTGGGGGACGTAATTCAGCCTATAACACCTTCTTTAATTCTTACTTTCAGGGTTCAGCCCTTGTTTTCTCACCCCCATTGTCATCTGTGCAGATCCTGAAGAGCAGGACAGGAGGTCTCTGATGGCTTTGTGCCCTCTCCCTGCCCGCTCCGGAGCGGCTCCAACCCCAGGGCCTTTGTCTTCCCTCTGGGAGAGGTCTCCTTGGCCCTGTCACTCTTGTCTTTAGGAAAGGGAAATTCCTTGACCTGTACCCAGGCAGCCGATGCTTGGCYTCCCTTCTCTGGTCTAAGTGATCAAGAGGCCACAGGAGCTGTCACCTCCTACCCGCAAGAGGCTGAGAATAATCTGCTTTGATTTGGGGTGCTATCTGGAAAGTGGTTGTTAGTGATTGCCGCTCTCTCTCGAGTGTTTATTAGCGTGGTGTTATTTCTCGCTYTCCCAGGGCTGGCTTATCCCCTCATCTCTCCTCCGTGCTGGCCATTTTGGTGTGAAGGTGCAGTCCTCATGTTATGGGGTTTGGCCTGCTTCTGTTTTGTTTATGTCTGGATTTCCCTGGTTCTCTGGAAGCCTCACTACAGTAGTGGTGGGCACGCCTGTGCGTGTGCCCCTGTGTGCTCCTGTGCTCACGCATGCACAGTCTTGGCCACAGCAGAGGAGGGCATACTGCAGACCCTAGGTGAAGGAGGCACCTCCTCTCCACTGTTCCTGTGGTCCCCACCAGCTTGGCTGTTGCCTCCTGAGGCTCTGCTCTCCCAGGCACATTTTACCTGGTCCCCTAGGACCTCTTCATCCTCTTTCATTGGTGGGTGTCCTCCTTGTGAGGCCCCATGATCTTGCTTAGTAAGGAAGTGGTATCTGTCTTTCTTTTTTTCTACCTAGAGGTGCCTCCCTGAGAAATGTCCCTCTCTCTCCATGGGCCTGTGGGTTTCCACATGCATTCCAACCTTTTCTGCTGCTTGTTGTTTTTYACCCTGCGGATGAGAAACCTGACTCTTCACAATTGATCAGTTGACTGACCAAAGATTTTTAAACCTCMTACAAAAGAATAGCCATACCTGGGCTGATCTGGGGCCTCCTCACATGAAGAAGGTTCCAGAACCCTCACAAACATCTTTTTTGGGGGGGGCATTTTCTCAGAGCACCCTCTCTGAGAACTCTGTGATTAACCCCAATTTCAGGAAGGTGCTGCAGAAAGGTTCTTAGGGTCTGGAGAAGACAATTTCTTTGGACAAACCCCAAGGTGGCTGCTGTCCCTGGGTTCTGTGCCCCACACTGATTTGCTTGCTTCTCTGAATGTGTGCTCTGTCTCCTCCCGCGTCCCCCTGGTGAGCAGCCCCCCACCATTTTCCTGTGAGTACTAATTGCCAGCATCATAATACCCAGTCATTAGCTGCTCCCACTGTTTGGGGCTTGGGGTGGGATCTCATTCATCCTGCCCCTAAATGCCACTGGGACTGTGTAGTGAATTGAATGTGACAGCTCAGCAGCCTTCTGAGGTCTCTGCCTCACCATCCTCCCATGCAAGGCTTTGGGAGTGGGGGAGGGGGCAGGAGCACTTAATCCAGGAGGCTAATCTGGGGCTCCCCCCCACCCCACCCCTCTGGAAGGTCTGAACACTAACGCTATCGCAGTGGAAATGCTGACTTCCCCCGTTTAGCAGAGCTGCAGGGTGACCTGAGTCTGCAGGGCCATGGGCAGCTGGTTTGTACCACCTGCAGCAGGAGAGACCTTTYGACTTTGGTCCCCCTGTTGTCCCTTGCTCCATCCTCTCCAGCTGTGTCTTCAGAGCTCAGTGCTTGGCCCTGCTCCTGCTGCTGTTGCTGCGGAAAGGGCAGAGTGACCAGCTGGAGCCAGCATTGACCTTCCTCCCCCAGCCCCCCCCACCCCCTGCCCTGAGCTGCTGGCTCAGCAGTTGCCAGCCCCTCCCCCGCCCGCCTGCCCCTCCCAGCAGATACACTGTCACTCTCTCACCTTTGTTTCTGTCCCCAGTGTCTTAGTTTCTGTGTTTCCTATAGACTTGGCCCCTGTCCTCGGTGCTCTGGCTTCTCTGCCTCAGCCATAGGCAGCCCAGGGTGCAGACCCTCCCCTTTGGGATAGTCCTTCTGCTGTCAGCTCCCTCCCTTGGCCTGCTGTCCTTCCTCCCTGTGCTGGATTCTTCTCTCTCCCTCCATTTCTCCTTCATCTACCTTCTATGAATGAAATTACCATGTGTAACCTGTACAGTTACATACACATGTAGATGTGCATATACATCAATAAAAGGAGGGAGGGCTTGGGTGGGGGTCAAGAATCGGAGAGGTGCCACTCTGAAGCATTCTGCATGACTCCCACCAAGTGTGACTAGTAAACAGGGTTAGAATTCAACACCCCAACCACTCAGGCTCACTGTGTCAGAACTCTTCTTGGATTTCTTTTTTACTTTCTCTGCACAGGGATCATCTATTATAGATGATGTTTTCAAGATACTTTTTGGGGGTAGGATTGGGCCTTTGCCAAATCTTAGAGTTGGATGAAACAAGTGTATAAAYAAAGTCAGGGCCATCCATGCATCTATGGTTTTGCTAACCATGTATTAAATACTGACCACATATTGGACCTGGGAAGTACAATATGCAGAAGACTTGGCTTCCTCCCGGAGGAGCTCACACTGTCGAGTAGGGCTGTGGAGAGAGGTGTGTACAGAAGGGTGAAAGGGCCAAGGGCTCAAGGGTGCATYCTCTCTGTCTCTGGGCAGTGGTGCTGAGTGCAACCACAGCATCTCCTGAGGGAACTCACTGGATATGCAGATTCTCAGGCTCCATCAGACCTTCTGGAACAGAGACTCCAAGAGTGGGGATGAGCATGCTATGCTCCAGTGCACTGTGGTACACAGTAAGACTCAAGGACCACTGYGTTGGAAGATTTGCACAGGCTTCACGGAGGAGGGGACATTCAAATTAGCTCTTGGAGATCAAGGAGGAATTTTTAGGAGGAGATTTCCTGGATCCCAGGAGGGAGCCCTCTGTAGAAGGGGGGGTGGCGGGGGTGGGAATACAAAATTGTAGAGGAAGGATGGAAATGTAGGTGGGGGTCACAGTTAGAGTCATATTTCTTGCATATTGTGTAATCTTTACTGTAGGAAATGGAGAGACCTCATAGCCATTACTAGAAGGCAAGAACAAATGATTTATAAAGAAATTCATTTAGAGTCTTATTAAATCTTAAATGGCATATCTCTTTTATTTAATAGTGTAAATAAATAGAACAKGCTTCTCAATAACATACTTGGAGCTCCTAAGAGGGAAGTGTTTTTGAAAATAGGGTTCTATGAAATTGATCTCAACCTTATTTTTCAGGTGGATGGAATTGAAATTGGGGGTTGTCCTAGGTCCCTGGAGGTTTCATTCAGTCTTATATGCAGTGGTGGTATGCCTGGTACAAAGTTAGGCTTCCTATTGTGTGTGTGTGTGTGTGTGTGTGTGT